CCCACCGCCCGAGCCCGCCCCGCCCACCGCCTGGGATCGCCCCGCCCACATCCCGGCTCGGCCCGCCCACCTCTGTTCTCCGCAGCTGTACAGGGCGGTACCGTGTGGAGCTTGATGGCTGAGCCTATCGGGTGAGTGTGGGTGGGTCGCGCGGAAAGCTCAGGTGAGCTGGCCACCCTTCACTCTTATTTCTTGTCCCTTGAGCTTGGAGTACGTCAAGCCTGTGCAAAAGTCCACACAAACACACAGATACACACAAAATATAAGCATGTTTATAGACACGCGGATCCACAACACACTCATGTGCACTGACACACTGATACACACCAACACCCATCTATACACACTCACACAAAGACACACGTAAAGAACAGACACACATGAACACAATACACTGAGACACATACAAACACAAGTACATTCGGATGGCTTGAAGAGCAAGGAAACACTTGATGGTGACAGCACCTGAATGTTTTGGGTTTACTTCTTAAAAAAAGAAAAGTTTTAGATTTCTTTTTAGGTTTAGGGATGGAGGTGGGGCTGAGGCAGGAGGATGGCTTGAGCCCAGAGGTTCCAGGCTGCCGCGAACTATGACAATGCCGCTCTACTATAGCCTGCGTGACAGAGCAAGACTCTGTCTCTTAAAAGAAGAAAAAACGTCTTAAGGATCTTAGTAGCAGTTTTGGAAGTGAGGTTCAAGTCAGCTGGTCTGTCCTCTCTTATGGCAGAGGAGGAGACTGAAGCCAGGGGGAGGTTATGCCTGCCCCGTAAGGGTGCAGGAGGTCAGTAGGGATGCTGAGACCACAAGGAACACTTCCTGACCTCTCCCACTCCCTGTTTCTCTTGTAGCTGTGCAGGCAGAAAGATGAGCCTGCTGCCTGGGTCTTCCCACGGGCAAAAGGGTTTGTACTTCAGAAAGCAAACAGAAAACACAATATGTTAACTGTTGCTGATGAGGTGAGGAGAGGAAAGGAGTATTAGCTACATCGAGTCCACGCGAAGCATAGCAGACTGTTGTCTTTGTAAAGAGTTTTCAGAAAACCATTTAGCCACACCATGATTTTAGGACTATGCTTTCTATCAAAACACCAATGTTAACGAAAGGGGTTTTTGCCCTTTCGCCATATCTGAGTCCTCTGTATACATTATGTCTTTTGTCTTGTTTTCTTTTTTGAAACAGTGTCTTGCTCTGTTGCCCAGACTTGGGTGTACTGTCTTCATCTTAACTCACTATTCGCTTGAACTCCTGGATTCAAGCCATCCTCCTTCCTCAGCCTCCCAAGTAGCTGGGACTGAAGGCATGCACCACCATGCCTGCCTAATTTTCCTATTTTGGGTAGACACACAGGGTCTCACTCTTGCTTAGGCTGGTCTCATACTCTTGGACTCAAGTGAACCTCCTGCTTCGGCCTCCCACAGTGCTAGGATTATGGGCATTAGCCACCACACTGGGCTGCATTATTTTTTTTTTTAATCCTCACCACAATCTAATGAGGTGGGCACCAGTGTACAGATGAGGAAACTGGGTCTCAGGGAGTTGCACCAATAGCAAGTTGCAGAATTTGGCTCATGACCCTTGCTCTGAACCATCAGAGCAAGGTGGGGTTTTTTTACTTTATTAGATTATATTCATATGATCCTCATGGTCAGTGGGATCATATAATCTAATAGAGCAACAAAGTCAAACACACTATTGCTGGAAAAGAAATAATATGATCAAATGTTGCCCTGAACGTTATTAACGGTGAATCCAAGGAAGCCAGATGGGAGAAGGTGGGGGCAGACATGCACCATCCCACCTTGGGACCCAGTCCTGGCTGCTTCTGCCACTTTCAGGTGTGTTATTTTACTTCCTCCGTTGACGTCAATTTCCTCTCTAATGAAGAATGTAGTGCTCACTTTGTAGGGAAGAGAATTAAATGAGATGATGCCTTTTCAGAACTTAGCATAGTTCAAGAATGCAGTAAATGGTAGCTATTACCACTAACACTTGTGCTACCGATGGTGTTTGGGTTGGAGCCACCAGGGAAGACTTTATAGGGAACACCCTGAAAAGGACAAGTGGGTTGCAGCCAAGCTGAGAAACAAAGGACATTATTTCTAGGCTGGGAAAATAGGAGGACAAAAAAACATAAAAGGAGAAAAGAAATGCAGAAGGCTTTTCTGAGGAGTCACTTGTTACTAACAGTGGTGCTATTACTTCATGTCGTAAAAGCTTCTTTCAACAAGGAATTGCTTCAAAGTCATATGTGATTGCTGTTTTTCCTCCATTTGCCAGCTCAAAGAAAGAACTTTTTTCTTTCTTTTTTTGAGACAGAGTCTCACTATGTCACCCTGGGTAGAGTGCTGTGCTGTCACAGCTCACAGCAACTTCAAACTCTTGGTCTTAAGCAATTCTGTTGCCTCAGCCTCCCAAATAGCTGGGACCACAGGCACTTGCCACAACGCCTAGCTATTTTTCTGTTGCAGTTGTCACTGTTGGTTTGCTGGCCCAGGCCGGGTTTGAACCTGCCAGCCTTGGTGTATGTGGCTAGCCCCATAACCACTGTGCTATGGGCACCGAGCCCAAAGAAATAACTTTTCATCATTGTGAGGCCCAGTTTGTGCCCAGCACTGTGCTGACCCATGGAGCCACATGTTTCCACAAGATCACTTACAGCCAGTGCATTGAGGTGGGGTCTTGTTTCCCCCATGAAACAATGTCACATTGTTGGCTTTCTGGGTCAATGTCAATCCCAGAGAATTTCTATAATGTACCTAAGATGCTGGGGAGTTGCAATGGTGGAAACAGTGGTGCCGTGCTAAGAGCTAAGCTGAATCAAACCAAATAAAGCTTAATAAGAAATTGTGTTCTAGCAGAAAGGTTGGCAAAGGCAGATTCAATCATGGGAAAATAATGAGATTGAAATACCAGAGATTCTAAACATGGCAACGGCCCAGATTTTTATGCTTCTTGATGATTTTGTGTCTCTATCTTGTCTACCTCGTTTCAAAATGTTTGGCTTCTGTCTTTCCTCCGAACTGGTATATCACGAGTCCTGCTCTAACACTTTCCGGCCTGGACTAAGGCCATTTCAAATAAAGAAGCAGGATGCAGAGATGAGGAGAGAAGATGGTGGTGAGGATGGGGGCAGCGAGGAGAAAGGCAAAAGGTTTTTCTGAAGATCGGGGAAAAGCATTACGAAGAGGAAGAAGGACAGGGTGGGTAAGATGTGTCAGTCTGAACAGATGAATGTTTGATTACAAATGGAGGAAGGTAAATGGAGATAAAAGCCAGTGGGCCAATTTCCACATCAGCCACCAGTCCACAGGCGGAAGAAGAGAGAGCCCAGCCCAACCACCTCATCCCCTAATCACACCCACTCCCACTTTCCTGCAACTTGAGCCCCTTTCTCCCACCTACCTGATCTTGGGAGATTTCAGCACAGGAGAAAAAATACCTAGTGTTTATATGATGTAAAATATACAATATGATTGAAAACAACTTTTAGCCAGTTGCTCCTGGAAATCTAGCACAGCACTGGGAGTGTGTGCAGGGGCCAGCCCCGGATGCCCGACATCCCTCCCTTCCTCTGAGTCCTGGAGAAGGGATTTTACAGACATAGGAAGGAACTTGGATTATTGAGTCATCGGGCAGATGTGCAATGACCAGAGAAAGAATACTTAACAGCCCGTTTAAGCAAAAAAAAAAAAAAAAAAAAAGACAACAATGTTGTTGCTTTAACTTGTTACCTTTTCCGGGACCTACGACTTCCCTCTTCCCGGCCTGCTTCAGGGCCCTTCTCTAATAAAGATAAGATTTCCTTGAGCTGATTTAGATATTATTTTGATTTTTCCCCTTAATTTATAAAGGCACTGCCAGTTCTTTTTTTTTTTTTTAAAGGTGAATACTCCTTTTGTTTAAAGAAATTTTGTTATTGACACATAATTGTACAAATCCATGGGGTGCAGTGCGATATTTTAATAGATGTATACATTGTGCAGTAATCAAATCACAGTAGCTGGCCTGTCCATCTGCTGTGGTTGGAATATTTGTGCCTTCTTAAACTCATGTTGGAACTTAATCCCCTGTGTGGCAGAATTGAGGAATGGTGCCTTTCAGAGGTGATTAGATCATAAAGTCTCTGCCCTGGCAGATAGATTAATCCACTGCTGGATTAATGGATTAATTCGTGGATTAATGGATTGATAGGTTAATGGATTAATGGGTTACCATGGGAGGGGAACTGGTGGCTTTATGAGAAGGGGAAGAGAGACCTGAGCTAGCATGCTCAACCCCCATGCCAAGTGATGCCTGGGCCACTTTGGACTGACTCTTCAGAGCCCCAACCAGGAAGAAAGTTCCTACCAGATAAAGCCCCTCAACTTTCAACTTCTCAGCCTCCATAATGGTAAGAAATAAATTTATTCTCTTTATAAATTATCCATTTCAATGAATAAGTATATCATCATGTCATATCTTATCATTTCTTTGTGGGTAAGAAACTTTGAAATGCTCTCTTCTGTCAATTTTGAAATATACAATATAATATTGCTAACCATAGTCACCTATTGTACAATTGAATACTAGAACTTAATTCTTCTAACTGTAACTTTGCACCCATTGACGCAAAGTACAATTAATGTTCTTGATAAAACCTTGAAGTCTCTCTTGTTGGCTTGTTTTAAAGAGTAAGATAATTATGGTTACCCAAAAGTTAGAAAGGAGGTGGGTGGGTGTAGTGGCCACCTGTGTAATCCTAGCACTTTGGGGGAGGCTGGGGCAGGAGGATTGCTTGAGGCCAGGAGTTTAAGACCAGCCTGGAAAACATAGTGAGACCCCCATCTCTACATAAATTAGAAAAAGTAGCTGGGTGTGGTAGTGTGTGCCTGAGTCCTAGCTGCCCTGAAGACTGAAGCAGG